AGGTTCTAGTTCAATGGATACATGTAGGTTGTTTTTATTTATTAAGTTTAACAATTTAAAGGAATACAAGTTTATAAATAAAGGCTAGCAACAAAGAATATGCCCTACAACAGTCCACAAAAATTGTCGCATATTTTCTTGGGGTTTTTTTTGTGATTTACACTAATACCTGATCAAGATAGAGAGACAGAGAAATGGGGTTTAACAACCACTACACACAAACTAGGTCATTTTGGGACTAACTTATGGTTTAATTTTATTTCAATAATTTGCTTGCGTGTAGGGGTCTTTAGCAGTGGGAGGAAACCAGAGGACCTGGAGAAAACCCACAAGGTTGGACAGGCGACCCTACTCCCTGTCACATACAACTGGGGAATGGAAACCACGCCAGTTGAACTAGAAACCTATGATTCAATTAGTTAAAAAAAAAAAATAATGAAAAATGTATATACATGAATTGAAAATTTCATGCAAATTACTTTATTCTTAGGGCAAAGTTACAGTATGACTATTTGAAGTTATGACTGTAAGAAGATGTAGCGTAGATTGTTTATTTTTCTAGCAATGGTACTTGACTGTCTCAATTATCCATTTTATAGTTAAATCTTAAATCACACAGGTGTTTTAATCCATATAAATCTCAGCCTTCCGACAGTCCAGTTAGTCAATTTTAGGCTTGTCATGTTAATATATGTCTAAATGATAATTTACATAACATTTTGAACATAAAATAAAGACCGGCAATAGACAGATTTAGCTCTTGAATAATATATTTTACATTAAACATAAAACTGATATCAGTAGATTAGTGTATTATTGTTGTTATAAATGCACAAATCTGCTACTTCACACTGACCACATACAATATATTGAGAGAGAGAGAGAGAGAGAGAGGGTTTAAGGTCTACTCGAAACAAACTAGGTCATTTCGGGACTAACATGGTTCAATTTTATTTCAATAATTCGCTTGCACGTAGGGGTCTTTAGCAGTGGGAGGAAACCGGAGGACCCGGAGAAAACCCACGAGGTTGGACAGGCCACCCTACTCCTTGTCACGTACAACCGTGGAATCGAAATGAAATGAAATGAAATGGGGTTTAACGTCCTACTGTTCTGCTCCTAACCTGGGATAATGAAGACGGGCATACGCCATACAGTGTGCTATGAGGGAAATGCTGCCCGGGCAGCGGCACTACGGCCTACTCTTATATCGAATTTCAACTGCCAAGGGATCTTTTACGTGCAAGCCAATGTGTACACGGGACCTCAGTTTTTCGTCCCATCCGAACGACTAGACAGCTGTCCTTGTCAGGCCCTCGGTCCTGCATCACTGACAAGGGGAAACCACGCCGGAACCGTGGAATCGTAATGATGCCACTTGACTTATTATGGTGTAACAGTGATATATTTGAACGTTCTTTTAAATCAGATAAAAATTGTGACCTCTAGGGGGACCACAAGCTAAAAATATGAGTTTTCGTAAAATCAGGGGCCATAATCCAGGAACTTGCGGTTCGATATGCGTGAATATCAAAAGGAACCAAGATCTTTGGGTTATAAACATACATTTCAAGTTTCATCTAAATCGGATAAAAATTGTGACCTCTACAGTGTCCACAAGCTTAAAAAGTGATTTTTCGAACAATCAGGGGTCATAATGCGTCAAGTTTCAATCCGGTACATGATTGGCAAGTTAATAAATCATAATTTATATAACATTTAAGGCCTAAAGAAAGACCTGCAATGGGCAGATTTAGCTCTTGCATAATGCACCTTTAATTTTATTGTGGTTAACTCACACGCAACTGTAGAAATGAAAATGTATATATTGAGATATTGTAATGTAATATCAAAATGGTGTCTATATAATAGTGTATTGTTGTTATAACTGTCTAAATCAATTTACCAATGGTAACATATGTTCCAACATAAATAAATATATATATTAGTACTATTACCATAAATTTTTTGTAAAACCATAATAGTGCAATTTGGTTTGTTTTCCTGCAAGCTGGTAAAAAAGTGTCTGATATTGATTGCAGTTTGAAGTCTCGTCAACATAATACTTCCCTCATCTTCAGGGCTGACAGTCAATAAGTGTCAGAGACAAGTATCTCTGACTTTTGTTCAAAAATCTGACGATGTAACTTTGTAAAATTAAATACTAGACAATGTATGACAAATCTACACACGTTAAAACATGGTCCTTCAGTCAATGACAACATATATTAACAAATTGAAAAATGTATATATTGAACGATACTGTAATCAAATATCAAAATGGTCCTTCGATCATTGACAACTTGGTCCTTCAGTCATTGACTATCATAGCATGGTCCTTCAGTCATTGACAACATTGTCTTTCAGTCATTGACAACATGGTCTTTCAGTCAGTAACATGGTCCTTCAGTCATTGAAAACATGATCTTTCAGTTATTGACAACATAGCCAAGAAAGTTCATCAGGATTTTCCGACATGGTTTCCCCTTGTCAGTGGTGCAGGACAGCTGTCTAGTCGTTCAGATGGGCAAAAAAACTGAGGTCCGGTGTACACATTGACGTGCACGTAAAAGATCCCTTGATAGTTGAAATTCGATATAAAAGTAGACCATAGATTAGTGGCGCTGCCCGGGCAAAATTTCCATCATAGCACACTGTATGGCGTATGCCCGTCTTCATTAGCCCAGTCTGGAGCAGAACAGTAAGACATTAAACCCCATTTCATTTCATTTCTCTTCAGTCACTGACAGCATGACCCTTCAGCCATTGACAGCACAGTCCAGCAGTATTTTATTATTTCATATTATTGGAAGTTTTCCACTTTTTTTGGCAAAATACATGTACACTATTTATTTCATTATTATCAGTTAGGTATAAATATAAAAGATATACACACAATATACATGTAGTTCTAAAATAGATCTTTTATACCTAACTAATAATAATACAATATATATTGTATGCAAGTCGTGAGAAAATAATACAATGAAGTCTAGTGTAAAATATGTTTAAGTTTTTCGAAGCCTGTGTGATCGTATTTCTTCAATGGGGCACAGCAGTGAGATGACAATTTAAGGTCATGTGTACATATTGGTGTGCATGTTAATAACAGTGGCTCAGTGAAAAGGGAGACAGAGAAATGGGGTTGAATATCCACTCAACACAAACTAGGTCATTTTGGGATCAACGCAATAATTACATTTTATTTCAATAATAACAGTGGCTCAGCAGGACGACAATTCAAAGTCCTGTGTACATATTGGTGTGCATGTTAAAGAACCAAGTTGAAATTCGATTATAGCGCATGAACGGCAGGGTTAGCCCTGACTGTATAAAAGTTGCCTCACAGCATACTGTACAGTCAGACAGATGTGATGACAATATAGGATCAGTGGCGGATTAAGCTCCACCAAGGCCTGAGGTGGCAGTTGCTGGAGGGCCTATTTAGTTTTTAAATAGGGCCTATTTAAAATGGCGTGGGCCGAATTAATTTCGGGTCAGGGCCTATGTTGATTCCCGTTGGGCCTAAACCCCACCCCCTAACATTCATTGTCTATGCGTTTTTAATTGTATCAGACAAGACTAAAAAAAATTTTTTTACAAAATCTTTGGGCCTGAGGCTGTAGCCTCATCAGCCTCACTGATAATCCGCTACTGTATAGGATCACAATCAAAGTAGTTACACGAACAAAGTCATCAGTATCACAAAAAAAACATCTTTGAAGCATCTAACAATTTACTTCCTTAGAGAACATAACTCGACAAATGAAATTTGAAGCACAAGAAAAGTCACAGTAACCTGTGATTTTAATAGATATTTCATTACATAAAACATCCTATTCAAATTCAGACAGCATGTAAATCATACATTATGACATTATAATAGGGATGAAAGATACTTAAAAAGTGGATGATATAAGTGGATGATATATATACATTTAGGCTACATTAAGAAAGTATGTAAAATGTCAACAAAAGATATGAATTATGAATACATATTTATTGTTGTTTTTATGTTTATGTAGAAGAGGGTGCCACAACCCTTCTTTTAAAAGCATGCTGTACAAAGCTGCACACTGTGTTTGCCAGTGCAAATGGCGGGTTAAACATATTTTCAAAACAAAATGGGTAGTTTAGGTCCTCAAATGTTCCATAAACAAGTGTCTTGCAGAGTTCCTAATAGTGTTTGCACTCAATGAGATAATGCCACTCTTTTTTAACTTGCTGTTGAGGGAAAAGCCACGGATGTGGAGTCATATTCTTGTACTGTCCTCTCTCTATTTCAAGAGAATTCAGAATGTGCGTTTAGCCAGAGACGGGACATGGTGGTTTTCGTTTTATGATTTTTGACAACTTTGCAGGTACTGGCCTGTTAATATTGTTTTTAAACCTAAAAAATGTTTCTGGTCATCTGAAAAACGAAGATGTCTTAACTTTGATGATGTATGAGGTCATTAAACAAGTCTATTAGGCCTTCAATCCCATAAAAGTTTATGTTATTCAAATGGTTTTGAATTCCTTTCTCAAATTTAATTTCGATTCACAATCAATGTGGATGTATAAAAACATATAACAGTTCCAAGGAATGGAGCTATACGCCCTTTTATTGGGGGGGGGGGGCCACGGTGGCTCGGTGAGTAAGACATTGGCTAGCTAACCTGGAGGTCCTGTGTTCGACCCCTGCGTTGGCCAAAAAAGTTCATCGGTACTTTTCCGATGTGGTTCCACTCCTTGTCAGTGTTGCAAAATGGATGTCCTGGCAAGGGACAATGTACAATCGTTCAGATGGGACAAAAACCCAAGGTCCTGTGAACACATTGGTACCCATGTAAAAAGCCCTTCGAAAGTTGGAATTCAATACAAGCATAGGCCTTAGTGCCTCTGTTCGAACAAAATTTCCCTGATTGCACACTGGATTAGTCCAGTCAGAGCAGAAAAGTAGGACGCTAAAGCCCATTTCATTTCCTTTAATATGGGGCATTTAAAAAAGATGTACTTACTTCTAAAGGTATACCACCATTATTATAATCTCCTACTATATACGTTAAATGTTTGTCTGTTTGTATGAAAGCTGTAATAGATAATAAACAGTGTTAAATATTAATCGGACAAAAACAACAATATACGAAATACGAAAGAGAGTGAATATGTACATTTGTATTTTAACAATCTTATTCTTACTGGTCAGCCTGATGTATATATTGTTTCGTTATATTTTATCATTGTTTGATAATGACGAGTGAATCCTAGTCGACACATCGCTTAGTAATAAGCAGTATTGCAGACCTGTACAATATAGACTGTTATTAAAAAGTGGAGGAGAACCGCACTACACACAAAACCAAACAGACAAGATAAATCTACATAGCTATTGCAAGAAATAAACAACAAATATCAAATCACTCAAGTGAATGGATCTAAAATTCTAAAATTGTTGTATATTCAAGGTCAGAATGAAAAATATATCTGTCTAAAATTGTTGTCTTTTCAAGGCAGGAATGAAAAAAAAAACGTCTTTGTGCACTGTCCTCAAGTTTCATTACTCCCAGTCAATTAAAATGAGAATCAGCTGCTTATTACAGAACATACTCATCAGTTAAATCGGTCACGAAACAAACAACTAAAAGCATGAACTGTATAGCTCAATTCGAAGCTGATTTAGTGTGTTCTGAAAATTGCTTAGTCTATGTAGAATTAACTCATCAATAACTTCCATATGATTTTTCAAAATTAAATAAATAGGCATCTTCCTCTCATGATCTTAATCATTATGTTAACTGGAAAAGACTGGACATAAGGCACCTGTCACAGACATTTTCAGACACAAATTATCAACTTGTGTGATAATTTGTGTCTAACAATGTGACAGGTGCCTTACACTGTATGTTCAGTCTTGCAACTGCAAAATAACTACAGCTTCCATAGTGTCCACAAGCAATTATTGTCAACTTATTATGAGAGAGTAAAAGAAATTCAAACATTTTTTTATACATGTACTACTGAATGTGTTGATCATCGAAAATCATTTTTCTCCATATAAATAATCATTGAAATAAGTATCAAAAAATTAGGTTTTGGAACTAATCTGTTTTTTTAAAAAAAACCTGGTGTCAATCTGTAGATAAAGGCCATTTTCCAACGCTATAAAATAAAGTCAGTCACCTAATTTTGATTAAACTAAGATAAACATGTCAACAGTGAGGCTGATGTTCCTCTGTCTCAATCCCATAATAAATAGATGACACTCATTAATTACTTTTATGAAGCATCAAGTATTCAAATCACTGAGCAGAAAAAGCTTATTATTGATGTAATGAAACTATATACAAAGTGTGACCAAGTTTCACACTCTTACTTGGAAGCCGCAGTGGGTCAGTGAGTAGGTCGTTAGTCAGGTGTTCGATCCTGCTGTTGGCTGAGAAAGTTTGTCAAGATTTTTCGCCATGATTTCCCTTGTCAGTGGTGCAGGATGTAGGGCCTGATAACGTGTATATTGTTATCATCAAACTTAGTTATGACATTCACGTAATGTCAAGGAACATCTACACGATGTTTGAACATTCTACCTTAATCAGAAGTAGAGTTATTATTATGTTTCAAAACGCGTGAAGGACAGATGGATGGACTGACAGGAAAACGCATCTCATAGTCCCCTGCAGGCCCAGAGTACACACGGATTTGTAGTAAAAAAAAAACATTGACAGATGGAATTCAAAATAAGAATAGGCCGTCGTGCCCCTGTCTGGACAAAATTTCTCACATACCACACCGCATGGCGTATGCCAGTTTCCATTACCCTAGTCAGCGCAGAAAAGTAGGACGTTAACCCCATTTAATTTCCTACAGTCTATATTGCAATACTAGTTACATGTGTCTCTTATGATACTTTTACAATTTGTTTTTTTCTTTTGTCTTTTGTCATTTGATAGACTGAACCAAGGGAGTAGAAAACTATTTATCAATACAATTCTTCACAATGATTGATATCTCAAGCGTGACACTTGTTGACATGATCCATTGATTAAAGCCAGGGAAACGATATAATTTTCCTTAGCAACAAATTGCATCACTGTCAGTAATACCAAATTATTTGATTTTAAGTATCGGTACTGTTAATTCTTTTAAAAATGTCAAATTTAGAAAATGACCTCGTTTGAACATTTTCATTGATAAGAAATTGTTTGCTGGTTTACTTGAGTAAAACAAGCCAACAGTAGTCAATGTATTGATATAATGAATCTATACTCAAAGAGTTTCATCGCTCTCCCCCAATTACAACCGAAGTTATCGTGTTCCAAAGTCTCAACTAATCAAATTGCTTATCTCTGCTTAGCCGTAGTGGAAAATGCGCATATGTATATTCATCAAAAATATACCTTTTTCCTGAACGCTCAATATAACTTTTGTTCATTTTCTTCCTAAACATTGTGTATTTCTTAAAAATAAGGTTGAGTAATTAAGGTACAAAAAACAAATAGGTGAAACAGCAAGGACATGTATATATTCTTCCAAAATATACCTTTTTTCCTAAAAGCTTACTGTAATTTTTCCTTAATATACATACATAATTTCTTAGAAATAATTAAAGGGAGAAATGGTACAAAAAATAAATTGGTGTACAAGTACATGGAGGTTGGAAGAAAATACAGATCAATTACATGTAATTTAGGGGGGTACATTTCCTCGTTGCTAACTGGTTTCAGGATTTAGTCATCACGTACCGGTACCTATCATTTTTTTAATTAAGGGGGGGTACATTTCCTTACTGCTAAGTGGTTTCAGAATTTAGTCATCATATACCTTTTTTCCCTGGAATAATATCTGAGCAAAAGGAAGAATTTAAAATATCCTTATGGAAAAGTCATCATACAACAACTTAAAATGTGGATTGGGATCGAGATTCGTCTTGCATTCCTCGCATGATCAGAATAAATCTTTATCTCGACTGACTGGCGATTAACTCTAAAAATGACTCTTTAAATCAAAAAAATGTCTGATGTGGTTGATGTCAGTGTTTAATTACCCATTTATGTGTTTTATATTGTAATTTGTAATAACTATTCCTAGTGCCAGACTAACAACTTAAACCATAAAACACTCATCAGTATCAAATCTAATTGAAATGAATAGATCATTTAATATATATAGTGTCTATTGATCAGATTTTGCTTAGAAACTGTTTATTTGTAACATAACATAAACTATATATAGGTCTATAGATAGAACACACTATGCTCCACATGTTGCATGTGCCATGATAAAAACAGACCTATGGCTGTCACTTGTTATTTAATTATATCATCTTTATCAAAACGTTTAATCATAATATAAATTTTATTGCGACATTTAGGTGCAAGTAAAGATATAATGTACATGAATAATATGAATATCTACTGGGCAAAGACTGAATAAGAAAGCTTATTATTACTGCTACATATATTTGACCTACACTTCTGATAAAATTGGGGCAAATTCACGCGATAGTATGGCCTGAGATTTCCCCTTCAAATAGGGAAGTGTGTGTGCAGTTATTGCAGCGTTCGCGTTGACAACTCACTAAATAAAAAACAAACTTAATGTCTGAAATTTGTTTTCAGAGATAAACTATTGTGGTAATTAGCAAGAACTTCTCAGATAAAGCTGTCACAGACCCGCAATCAACAAATATTTTTGGTGTAGAACGTCACAATATTTCCTGATTGTAAACACAACAGGTCCGTTATTCACTAACATTTTATGGAATATACCGTTACGTTATGAGGAAGAAAATAATATCCTACCTTGGCCGTGGCTTTCTACTGCATGTATATTTGATGTATTAGGGTGTAATGTATGTAAAACTATAAGAAAACGTAAAATATCTATCACTTTGTCTTTCGAGTAATTCTCTGACACCCGCGCCATGCTTGCATCCTTCACTGACTTGTCAATCTATTGAAAACTGTTAGCTCTACAATTCAGAAACAATTCTGCAAAATCTAAAGCAAACAAAAATAATATTTTCCACAACGATTCATCTAATATGTATGCAAACTCTCTAATAATTACGTATTTGGGGTATTGCTAGGAATATGCAATACGAAACTATATCAAAGAAAACTAGCTCTGTATACTAATCTAATGCCTGAATGGGTAATGAAACAAATATTTCTATTGGTCGTTTCTCTAGGCAACATTATCGAGTCACTTCCTTACTGGTATGGCGTGTATTGCTCTTATTGGGAGTCATTGCTCATTCATTATTTTGAGGTTGCAAAACATCCATATCATAGCATAATATGTCACCACAATTACGCAGTTAACTACTGCCAATTGGCAATGAGTTTGCGGGCTACATACACACACTAACATTAATTTTTTATGTTTCTTTTGGTCTAGATTTTCTAGGCTTAGCTCTATATAATATTAATAATGTATATTTTTTGTTATTGTAAATGTAAACACTACGGACTACGTTACTGAGACTTCATGAAATTAAGATGAGGAAACTATAGTAAGACGAGGTTTTGGAGATACATAGTTCTTTCAGGCAATAGCCTATATATCACGATTTTAACTGACCTAAAACTACTATATTTTAGTCATAGTGACAACAATTGATAATTGTGATTTATTCAATTTCCTGAACAACCTTACAAACAATTAAATCTCTAGGCTACTGCCAGAGTGGAATTGAAATGATCTGAGTGATTATCAGTATCAGTGGAAAGTTCACAAGCCTGTTACTGGGCAAAGGTTTTCATATCAAACGGACCAATATATGTTGTTTGTGGCGAATCTCGCTCACAAGTGAAAAATTTAAACTACCTAGTACCTGGTACTCCGGCTGGTACCACCGTACTTTGTCATTAGATTAGGTTAGATATAATAAAATAACCATAGGATAGTGCCTATTAGTATTTATTTATTTTTTTGAGACATTACATGCGTTAATAAACATACTTCCAAGACGGAAACAAATAAAATCTTTACTAAAATAGCATACGGTAAGTAGAGTACGGTAGGCCTACATAAATATGTGTAAATGAATCTTTGTTACATTGGAGACAAGATCAGATCTTGTGGCGCAAGAAGGAAGCAGTCCTTCAAATAATAATCCCCTAGAAACACATAACAAGACAGGTATCCCTTGCAAACGTCTATCTTTAAGTTAAATTTTAAAGTAAACTAAAAGCAATATTTGAGTAGATTTTAGTATGGATTAAAGATATGGTATTGAAACTAGATAATGTAAAGGGAATATGCTGAAAATTCCAGTCAAATTGCTTCACTTTAATCCGAGAAAACCTTATTTTAATATCACTGTAGCCTCCAATTCTCAATTGTCATTGTTACAGCTGTCACGATAATTGATAAAGTCTTGCTTATCCATTTTTGTGGTTAGGCCTAATTATCAACAGGCTTTGAACAGCAGATCAGATTCAAATCCAATGAAAATCAAGAGTTGATTATGGTCTGATTAATAGTTTATATAGCATTTCAGACCCAAAGAAAGACCTGCAATAGGCAGATTTACCTCTTGCATAATTCATGTTTAAAGTTGTGAAAAATTTGATATTTTCAGAAAAATGCAAATGATGCACAGAGACTTTAATAGATTTTGTCAGTCTGTCTTTAATATTTGTGTAGGCCTACTGTATGTTGTATGTTTTGATGGGTAGGGAGCCATGGTGGCTCATTGAGTAAGATTCTGGTGACCTAACCAGGACGTCTTGGGATTCCTCCTTGTGTTAGACCAGAAAGTTCCCTTGGACTTTAGTGTGCACATAAATAGATTTCTCTCATACTTAGCACACTGGATGGTGTATGCCCATCTTCATTAGCCCAGTCAGTGCAGAAAAGTAGGATGTTAAACCCCATTCCATTTCCCTTTGCTGAGTAGCTGTTTTGTACCATCTTTTCTAAGGCTAAACATAGAAATGTTACCTGTTTAATGTAATTTATTTTCAGATTGTACAATAAATTGTCTTTACCTGTTAATCCAATGTGGTCAGAATTATGGTCGAATTTATGGAGCTCGATATTCTTCTCCATATTAAGACCGATGTTGAAGTGGATTCTAAGACGAGTAACAGGAAAGTGTGAATTATTACGAATAACCTATGAAGAGAATCATGGATCACAAAGAACCAAAAGAATAGGTAACTAATTTATTGACAATTCCAAGCTTGTACATAACAAGGAGTCGGGTCACCTGTCCAACCTCATGGATTTTTTCCAGCTCCTCTAGTTGCCTCCTACTCCTAATGTCCCTTCGCGCAAGTAAATTATAGAGATGGAAATTGTGCTATATAATAGTCCCAAAATAATGTACCCTAGTTAATCTGATTAAAATACAGATCTATATTTCGTTTCCTTTTTTATACTTTCGATGGTTTACACTACATGAAGATCTGACAGGTTGTAGAGGTCATACGAGTGGCTTTTGACCCTATGATTTCAGACATTTGATTAACCAATCAGCGTTGATGTTTCTAGTGGGTTACCCACAGTTGCGTGCACCTCACTCCAAAAACTTGCCGTAACAGACTGTTTCATTGGCTAGTCCCTCACATCATCGAGAAGGATGGTTATATAATGACTCTTCCACGTCCTAGTGTAGTAAAGACAAGTAAAACAAAATTTTGAACTATAAAAAACTAACAAATAATATCTGTGTTTTAATCAGATTTGTACCCAAGTTTGTGTTGAGTAGATGTTAAACCCCATTTTTTCTTCTCTATTCTTTAGCTTAATTCCCAGTGTAGAAGTAAAATGTCTAATAGCTTACATTAATTATTCAAGGGAGGTAATAATTATAAAGATGGAATAAAGGATCAGACTAGTAATTCTCTCGGGGGGGTTGGATGGCTGAATGGTTAGCGTGCGCGCGCTGTATCATAAAGTCTGTCATTGAGTCGACTGGCGTGGTTTCGAATCCCCGGTTGTACGTGACAAGGAGTAGGGGCGCCTGTCCAACCTTGTGGGTTTTCTCCGGGTCCTCTGGTTTCCTCCCACTGCTAAAGACCCCTATGCGCAAGCGAATTATTGAAATAAAATTAAACCATATGTTAGTCCCGAAATGACCTAGTTTGTGTCGCGTGGACGTTAAACCCCATTTCTCTCTCTCTCTAGTAATTCTCTCCCTGTTTTATTTTAAGAAAAATCCCTGAAGTTATCTCATCAACCCTTTGTAAAACAATTGATTGTACCTGAAAATGTCGATGTTGAAGTGGCAGAAGCTACAAAAGAAATAATGAAAATAAAAGATATTGTGCCTGAAGTTCATTCACGGTGAGTTTCATGGTGTTTTTTCATGTAATGATTGGAGCCATGGTGGATCAGTAAGGGCACTGGCTCACTAACTAAACTGGTCTGTCATTGAGTCAAGTGGCATGGCTTCGATTCCCTGCATGTACATGACAAGGCGTGGTTTCCTCCCACTGCTAAAGACTCCTATGTGCAAGTGAATAATTGAAATAAAGCATGTGTCGAATGGACATTAAACCCCATTTCTCTCTCTCTGGAAGTCTCGGGTCTCAACCCCAGTTTTCCCAGGATGATTTCCCGCTTTTCAGTGGAAGACCTGGCAAGGAACAGAATCTGGTTATTCGGATGTGATGATAAACAGTGTAGCCTGAAAGGAGTGGTAGTGGCTCAGTAAGTAATAGGTTGGTCCCGTGTTCCATCCCAGCATTGGCTGAGTTAGTTCATCAGGATTTTCCAGCCTAGTTCCCTTTTGTCAGTGGTACGTGTCAGGGGAGCTGGCAACGTGTATCATTGTTGGAATGGTACAAAATGCTGAGGTCCCATGTCCACATTGGCGTGCACGTAAAAGATCCATTGTCAGTTCGAATTTGAAATAAGAGTAGGCCGTTGTGCTGCTGTACTGGCACAGTGCCCCTAATAGCATTGGCATGTACATTATATAACCCTTGACAGTTTGATTTTGATATAAGAATAGGCTGTAGTGCCTCTGTTGAGGTATAGGTGAATGTCTTGACCGAGTTCAATGATTGATATTCCCCATTAAAGTTATGAGCTAAGCAATTTCATTGGTCAATGCTTTGGGACAAGATAACTTTGATTCTAACTGATGGAGAGTGATGAAACTTAGAGTATAGTTTCACTATCAGGTACTTTAAAAAATTTTTAAAACCCAACTGAGTTTGATTGTGAACATTTTATCCTTAGACTAAGGATCCTGGAAAAGATAAATGTGCAATTAATAAATATGTGTCATCTATTTATTTGGTGATGTTGGCAGTGTAGATCACCCTCACTGTTGGCTTGTTGGATTTCAATGATGACTAGGTAAAAATACCCAAGATCCACTGGCTCACTTAATGTCTATGGGCCTCATGTATTTAGTATTTATTTGTTTGTCTTTTTTTAAATAGATTTTCATCAAGTTTTAGTTGTTGTTTATCACAAGTTGTTGGTTATAAAAAATTAAAGAATGAAGTTGAATTGATGAGAACCACACCCTATTCAAGTGATAATATACATCATGAAAATAAACTCTTACAGGTAATTTATTAAAAAACAATTGTGCAACATGTTTTTTATGCATCCACGGCAGTTGTCAATACATGGAAGTGCCAAGTTCTTTTCCAACCAGATTCCCCATTGTCAGTGGTGGGTACTCAGATGGAACGGAAAACTGAAGAGTAGACAAGTAAGGCAAACAACTTGATCCTTGTGTTGTCTGAGCAAGTTCCCGGAAGTTTCCAGCATGGGTTTCCATAGTCAGTGATGCAGTACAAATAGACTGGTCATTTGGGTGAGATAAGAAAACCAATGTCCAGTGTACACCATGGTGGGCACGTAAAAGATCCCTTGACAGTTGGAATTTCAAGGCGTATGTCCTTCTTCATTAGCCCAGACGGTGCAGAATTATAGGATGTTAAACCTCATTTCATTTCCATGAAAACCAAATAACTTGTAATTAGATTTTTAAACATTAGAATTGAAATAACGGAAATATAATCACAATATGATCAATGAGGATGTTTCTGTAATTTCTACAAAACTAAAATTACTTTTCTTCTTGTAGTTATGGAATTTATTGATGCCAGACACAAAGTTAGAATCCAGAATAAGCCGACAGTGGACAGATATTGGTTTCCAAGGAGAAGATCCAAAAACAGATTTCCGAGGAATGGGCATGTTAGGATTTAACCAGCTTTTGTAAGTCATAATAAACAAAAATTGATTTTATTCAAGTACTGTTTCGGTCACGGGTTCGCTTCTGGTGTTGGCCGAGGAAGTTAATCGTGATTTTCCACCATGGTTCCCCCTTGTCAGTGGTGCAGGATGGAGGGCCGGACAAAGACAGCTGTCTAGTCGTTTAGATGGAACAAAAAAAACTGAGGTCCTGTGTACACTTTGGTGTGCACGTAAAAATAATGAGTAGGCTTATACTGCCATACTTTATTATTATCACAGGGATGTGATTCGCCACCTCTAATCATCCAGTGTACCATGTTTATTGCATGGACTGGAGGTTGGCCATCTCTGATCTAGATTAACTGATACTTAACTCTTGTTCCATTCCTGTCATGCAGGACAGAGGACCTGACAAAGGTAAAGGGTCCAGTAATTTGTGTTGTACAGAAATGTAGGGTGGCACATTACCCACTGACAGTTGGAAATCAAGTAGGTTGTGGTGCCGCTGTCAGGGCAAAATTTTCTTCATTAGCTTATAACACCCCATTCCATTTTTTTTCATTCCCCACTTAGGAAATCCATTTACTATAATTTGTCTCAGTTTCGCTAATAGATTTATATATTATTATTGTTAAGGTTTTTATTTTTTTATTTCATTTTTTTGTAGATATTTTAGTGAAAATTATACAAAAGAAGCGAGAAATGTTTTATCTCAATCCCATCATCCACAATATGGGTAAAAATATAAACTTTTATTTTATTCTGGATGTATATTGTCGTCACCCTTGTCCGTACATCTGTCCATCCACAAATTGTTTGCGGACACTCTACAAGTCAAAATTCTTATCCGATATTGATAAAACTTTAAATATAGGTTTGTCTCCAAAAGATCTCAGTTCCTTTCGATATTGGCATGTATGGGACCGTAACTTCCTGGATTATGGCCCTTGATTGTACGAAAAATCACATTTTAACTTGTGAACCCTCTAGTGGCTCAGTAAGTAAGACACTGATTCACTAATCAGGAGGTCGCTGGTTTGCCCCAGAGTTGGCTGAGAAAGTTGGTCCTGTGTAGACATTGGTGAACTGTTGGATTCAAAATATGAATAGACTGATGTGCTGCTCCAAATCTAGGGTGCCATCCACATTTCCGCCTCATAATGAATGTAAACATATGTAATAAAATGCATATAATAACACTGTCTGAGTGCCCAGGTAGTATTGTATTGCCTATATAGTTGTTGGCCGATCATTATCTCATCAGAAAGCAGTTCTATTCAAGTTGACATAAACCCATTTCATTTCCTCAAACATAATTATGTCCCATTACTGTATATTAATATTATATTGTAGTATATTTTATATTGTAGGTATTCATATATTAATAGTATATTGTAGGTATTCATATATTTATAGTATATTTTATATTGTAGGTATTCATATGCTATAGTTGGTATTAATTTAACCAGTATGATATATACCCTGTTGAAAGGGGGTAAATTACGAACACATTTCTATAATTTAAAACAAGCACCTGTCACTATACAAGATTTACATGATGTTTATTGTAAGTTATTTATTTAACTTGAGTAGTGGGGGTGAGTCGAGTGGTCTAACCCATCTCATCGAGTCAAGTGACATGGTTTTGATCCCAAGCATGTACGTGATGAATAGTAGAGTCACCTGCCCTCAGGCCCCCCCCCCCCCGTACTGGTAAAGACTCCTAATTAGAGCCAGTGACTTTTTGAAGTAATGAAATGTGCATGCTCTTGGATAGCTGAAGCTGGCAATTTGAAGCTAACCCATTAACAAGGCCAAGATAAACCAATTAAGAAAAACACGTCACGAAGCTAGCGAGCTAGTGTTTTTTAAAAGGATTATTTGCTCATTATTTTATGATCAGTAGTGGAATATCGCGTTTTATTAGTGAAATAAAAGTGTTATTCCACTGGCTAAAGTAGTCCATGTTGTTTTTACCTAAAATGATTGTAAAATCATAAAATAAATAGAACATTTGTCGTTTTGTCGCGAATAACATATTTTATTTCATCTCTAAGCAAGAAAACGTTTATATTTTCACTCATGCTACGCATTTGTGAAAATATAAGTTTTCTTGCTTCTCGATGAAATAAAATATTTTATTCACTCTAGAACGACAAATATCCTCTATGTCTTTGTGTTCAGGCGACAGTGAGTCAAGTTAGCTTAACGACCACCAACCTTATTAAATGGGCTAACTAGCTCGCTATCTTCATATTTTTCAGGTTATTTGTTTCAAGAATTTAATAAATTCTGGTTTAGAGAAAAACCTAAAGATATCATGGAATTTGGAAGATTAAGAGATAAATTTAATAAACAAATTGCAGAAAGACTGCAAGAACCAAGAACCATTCTACAATATAATAATAAAGACTGAGACAACCTGTTTTGATTCTAGTTATATACCACCACAACTTTTATATTCTCACTGGGCCAATAAATACAGCCATATGACATGCAGTGTGCTATGAAGGAACTTTCCTCTGACCTACTCTTAATTTGTATTCTAACCTCCAGGGTATAAAAGTGGGCCTTAACACCAAGGCTGGACAGAGTTAAATAGTTAAAAAAAAAAATTAACTATTTAAATTAACTAGTTATTTTAATAAGGAAATCTAGCTCTTTGTGAGTTCAGTGCGATTATTTTCAACTTATGGACACGTATATGAACAGAGACAAATGGCTTTTTGTAATGAAATGGCATCTGCAGTCAGTTTTTTGCATGAAAATAGTAAAGATGATTAAAAATATTGGAAAATTCTGTATTGTTACGCTGGATAAACGTGTAGAAGGTTATATGAACATGAATATCTTTAATCTAGATATTGCTATTTGTTTTTGTTCTGTTGTAATTTTGACTAGTTAACTCATTAATTTTAACTAGTTAATTTTAACTAGTTATTAACTAGATATGACAAAATTTTGACTCCGTCCAGCCCTGCTTAACACAATTCTGTTATGGCAGTCATCTTTGGCCCTGTTGGTGCAGGAAAGTAAAATTTTAATGTTTGACTCGATCTGCAAACCTATAATGTTAATTATAGACAGATATACACTTCACAAAGCAAGTTAACACATTATATATAGCTATTTTAATTATTTCAATCATTTCCAGGTCACTTTAATATAAGTAATACAAATGCCGTCCTGCTGCGAGAAGTGTATATTTTATCAGGCTGAATATCATGGCAAATTTCATATGAATCATCTATTTCTACCCTTGGGCCAGTAAATATGAGTGATATCAGATCCCTGGTCTTCATCTATTTTAACGAGTGTAAAACCTATCGCAGGTTTGGTGGTTGTATATATTATATTCTTGTAGAGCAATAAAATAATCCTAGAAATTTTTTATGGTAAAAAGTAGATAATCTGGTTTTAGTCTTTGTCAGTTTTTGTACACAGTCACTAACTATTATATGTAAGCAAACGTGTTAAATTCTATGAATGGATGTTTGTTGTAATAGACATATCCATAGGCGTAGAGGAGAGGTGGGGTGGGTGTGGTGCTGTATCATTCTTGCTCGAAAAAAACGGCGGCAGTGCCCAAAAAATGAACTTTTCCAGATAGCACCCAATCAACAGTCTGTGAAATTCACTAAGAACCAAAATGTTTACATTGACTGATCTCATAGTGTATTATTTATCATCACGCCTAATTAATAATTATCGTATACGTCCACACCATAGTAGTGAAACTAAAACATGTTGATGTAATACCACAATAATAGAAATAGTAATCTAGCTGTGAGGTGGGATTTATGTTGATGGGTCAAGTCAAACATCATCGGACCAGATAAGAGCAAAATGCGAATTGCATGTAGTTCATAATCAAATTTCGCACCAGTCGAAACAATGAAAAATCTCAAAAAATAATGGCAAGTAGTGCCTAGCATAGCGAATTTTCTGGAACTGCAGTTTGAGTCTGAGAACTAGACACCCTGAATCAAAATCAGAATTGTGTGATTTTCTGAAACTCTGATCTCCAGTTGGGAATTGCATCACCCCACCCAATGGTCAGTAAACATCCCAGATTTCAGCCAGTTCATTTTACAGGATGGAATAGTTGTAATTTTTATATTTTTACTTTTATATCCACTGAACTGGGTATTATATCTCGTCCCACATAAGGTTTTGTAAAAGTCAAACGTTCTGTATCATGGGTATTTCCTGTTTCCTTTTTTCATCATTTGGCCACTGCATCACCCGAAAAAAAAAAATTTGTCCCCTTCCCCCCAACTCGTATGCCTATGGACGTATCAGTGTTTTAAATAGTCATGCTGGGCATTATTGGCATATTTATGATAATATCTAATTTTTCATAGCTTAATCCAAGCTAAAATGTACCCAAATTGATTTAAATTTTTAATAATGAGCTAGTTAATTAATAGTGATAATAAAATTGTATAAACATTTATCAAAATTTACTCAAATTCAAATTTAACATTTATTAAGAAAACAAAAACAATCTCCTTGTTTATATTCAACAAGAAGCCCAACCAACGATTTTACCTGTAATTTTGGGTTGGTGATGGCTTGTTTATATCATCTGCAACAGATGTTTTCAAATTATACTGAATGGAATTGAACAATTTTTGGACTGATACTCCTTTAAGAGATTTAATTTTCAAAATTTTGTATTTTGCAAGAGATTCAGCAATCTGTTAAATGATAATCAAAGGCTTAAGGAAATAAATCGATCCTGTTTCACCATGATACATTTTGTTTAATTTTAATGATTATGTAAATGTTTACACAATTATGCAATTTTTTTAAGATCTATATACTATATGTTGTTGTTTGTTAATTTTGTAGTGTAGAGTGTCATGCATGAGACAGAATATGCAGAATAGACATAATTTCACATTAACTTTTAGTTCATTATGTAAAATGTTATTCATATTGTTATCTTAAGACAGAATAGACATAATTTCACATTAACTTTTAATTCCTTATGTAAAATGTTATTCATATTGTTATCTTAACTGTATTTTTAAAGTGCTAATCATGTTTTTGACTTGTTGAAGTTTGATTGAATTGGTTATGTGTTGGGACACTAACCATGAGGACCCATTTGTTAAAGTTTGAATTATTTCTGTGTTATGATGAAATCTGTTTTACATTAATGAAATATATTTATATATAATAATCTAGTCAATGTATTTATTCATGTATCAACAAACAGGGTAAGTTTTATAGTTGTAATTGCTTCTATATTAATAAGACAAGGGCACAACTGCTGTTATAACTCTACTAAGCTCTATTGATGTAGGCTCCTAAATAGTAACACACTTACATATAAGGAATTGGTGGAACTAATGAATATTAATGAGGTATAAGAATAGATTACTATTGGTATATACATGGTATAGAAACTATAGGACATTACAATAGTGAGTGGGGAGGGTATATAGTGACTGAAACCAAACGGCTTTCAATCAATCAAAGTAAAACTGTCTCAATTTGGACTACAGTTTGTGTGAATTGTACATTTATCCATATATAACTATTTCATGGTTCTAGTTAAAGCCGATGATCGCCATTTGTATATTTGGACAATAATTTGTAATGCTTCATGGCTTATATTCCTGCTTAAATGTACTCATATTGATTAATTAACATTTGATTCAGAAAACAAAACCAAAATATGAAGCATATCTCTCGGCATACATTCATTTGTAATAAAAAAAACCCAAGCCCATTAATAAATTATCCAGGATTTATAGGTGAGGTCGACTTGATTACCTCATTAGCAAAGGGGATGCTGAATGTTGCAAAATTCATTTCATAATATCTTTGTAAGTACTGAATGGTTTTGAACCATTTTTGAACTGATATTCCCTTTAGAGATAACATGTGCAAGGAATTAAAAATTTATCAAATTGACGATCAGTGGGTTTAACTGAATTTGTATTAAAATTGTTATTTTTTTTTCTCATTTTCGTGGGCATGGTTAACTATTAACATTCCACTGACTAAACCAACACAAATAAAAAAAATCACAATAGAATTAATTGTCTCCCTTTATTTTTGTTTTTAAACACCAACATGATGTCCACTGGGTTTATTCGTATTGGCATATCAGCTTTCTTTTTTTTTCTTTTTTTTTTTTAAGTAAAAATTAGCAAAACGGCATAGGGTGAAATCCGTCGGCTTTCTTCGATGAAGGTCTGTTTTTATAACAAGCCAATTCATGGTGGTAAAAGACTTTGTTTCGAAAATTTGTACTTAAACAGTATTCACAAATTTAGTAGAATTGATTTGGTTGTCACCTAGAATTTGAAATGTGTTCACTTACCAATATATCATAATGCGAAACTTAGTCGATTAAACCAATCCCATCCCTATGACTATGATGAAGAGAAGGTAAATGGTCTGATAAGGGGGAAAAAAATTTCATCATCAATGCCACCATTCGTTGCAAAGTATGGCGCAGCCCATGTCCCCAGATTGTTGTACCCGAAAAGGCTATTCACACAAGAAGAGCTGGGTGTGATGGAATATGCGGATGCCGCTTCTTACTGTAACACTCAATTTCGCAAGAAGTAGGCGTCTCTAGATGTTAGACCGTTACGGTCACTAAAAACGACTTTATGCGAAGTAACCGTCCACTGATGCATTGGCACTCCAAGGGGATCCAGGTAATTATTCATCAGAGGAAATGATATAAAATTGGGTTTAACGTCTTACCTTTCTACAACCGGGATAATGAAGATGGATATAAGCCATATAGTATGATAATAATTAAGATGTGGCGCATAAATTTATAGTCCTGGCACATTATTGTATATCGTGCTAGCGTTTGAAAAATATCACTCATGCGCTGGCTTACGCCACACAGTTCTAGACATACGTAGGCGGAAGTTCTAAAAAAAACTGCCGACCACTTTCAAATTTGCCCTTTTTCTCCAAGATCCTTGAAAAGGTTGTCAAATTGCAACTTGTCACTTCGTAGAACGAGACAACCTATGGGATAAACTCCCGTCTGCGTATCTAGTAGCACACAACACAGAAACTGCTCCCAATGTTGGTGCTACTGGATTATCAGCTGCCTTTGACACGATTGACCATAAGAAGCTTCTACGTCGTCTTGAGTTTGATTATGGAATCTGTACAGTTGCCCTAAATTGGTGCTCCTCATATTTGTCTGGAAGGTCACAAGCTCTAGTAACCGGAAAAGCCGTCTCAACCCCAGTGACTCTAACGTGGTGTGTCTCAAGGATCCATCCTTGGACTGATATTGTTTTGTCTCTACACTAAAACCCTAGTGGAGCTGTTGAACCGACATCTGATTACCCACAAATGCTATGCTGATGACACCCATCTCATCGTCAGCTGCCTTGTACGCTATGTGATCATGTCAAGACTTGATTACGGAAATAGTCTGTTAGCAGGAACTTCGAAAGAACAGCTATATCGTCTTCAACATATTCAGAACCGCTGTGCCAGAATCATCACGACGACTAAACGGCGTTCTCGCATATCTGCAGCTCTTAACTCTCTACATTGTCTTAGAATTCAGGAACGGATCGAATTTAAAGTGCTCTCTTTAACATTTCAAACTGTGTCAAAAATGGCCCCACCCTATATCTAGAAGATATTGTTTACCCATATGTTCCAACATCCATCCAGTTCCCCGCGTTCTACTGATCAATGTCTGCAAGTTGGTCATTGTTGGTGTTTAAGAGAAGTGGTGCGTTTATGTGGTCGTGAAAACCTGATACACATATACTCACATGTGCGTTATCCGATGTTGTTAGATTAAATAAGTATGCCCCAAGCCCCACTTGTGGGAAATCCTGTACCCGCTCTGTGCACAATGATTTCAGTCTCGCGGTTATATAGAACCTAATAATGTAATATCAGACAAGTTGAATTAAAAGCTCAGATAGTCACTGAGTGGATAGTGGATGTGGACTGGACAAGCAGGCATGTATATATGATGTTATCGAAATACATATTGTTTCATAATGTAATCTTTTAGATTAATATGGGCAATTTTGAAATGAAATGGGGTTTAACATCCTACTGTTCTGGATTAAATCGGTTAATGAAGACGGACTTACGCCATAGAGTGTTCTATATGAGGGAAATTTTGCCCGGACAGCGACGCTACTATACTCTTATATCTAATTCCAACTGTCAAGGGTTCTTTTACGTTCATGCCAATGTGTACACGGGACCTCCCATCCAAACAACTAGACAGCTGTCCTTGTCAGGCCCGCCGTCCTGAACAATTTAGGGTTTATCAAAGATTTCTGTAAAAAGTCCCTTAATATGTGATATGTCTGTTAATGAAGATGTGGGTGTCCTTGGGGGTTTGTAAAAGTCCTAAGTGATCGGTGGGTTGTAAATATTGGTATTCAATGTCCACTTCCACCTAAGTGATATCGCAGTCAATGTCTTTGCTTGATATTTTTTGTGTGTTGTTGGTCTTTTGGGGGGGGGGGGGGTGCTGGGCATTCATTCATGGAAAAGGGTCGTGCAAGTAACTAATGGTGATGTTGACACGTCTTTTCTTTTTATCTTTAAGGACAACGAGACTGCCGTAGCGGTACACCGCAGATCTACCTTCTCACAAGTAAAGAGAAGGTTGACACTGGACTGTTATTCTGAATCTTGGATACCCGTAGTCTGCTTTCAAGATTAATAGTTGTTGAATCATTTTGGTTTTGGGTATTGTCATCTTTAGCTCTCTAATTCGTGTGTAGCCTCTAGACCTTTGGGTAGAGTGTGGGGTGACTTTCCATTGTCTTATTTCTCCAAAATCAGAATTGATATCCCCGAAGCACTCGTCGGTGTACGATACTGGAAAGTCGTAGACTAGAACCTAGCAGAAACGTTTGTGGAACTAAGTCTTCGTGAACATGCCACTCGTCATCCTTGTAGTAGATCCTAAACTACCGAGAAGGTCAGTTAGGCATTTCAGGGTGCCTGCTACTAACCGCCAAATGGCAAGAGCGGTACGTCGAAATAAGGTTTGCAGTTCCCAGTATTCCAGTTTGGAGTTATCTGGGGATTATTGAGTAATATTCGACGCGCTCGATATGAGTTTCTGCTGGTTTCCCCGGGGACAACACTAGATCCATATTGACGCCGGTAACTAGGAGACTGGAAGACTGGTGAAAACGTTAACAGGGTGAAAACTAATTAACAATCGATGAACCCCTGGTCTAAAGCCTGACTCACACTATGCAACAACTTAAGCGACGAGTTTGGCGACAAATATCGCCGCAACATAAGTGGAGTGAGCACATTACACGACGACTTTGGCGATCACGAAAGAAAAATCCTGTCATGTGCGACTGTAGCTCTACGGGGTAGACGTGATACTTTCGCCTAGGCGTTTCTCCGACTTCACGTTGTGGAGAGAGAGAGAAATGGGGTTTAACGTCCGCTCGACATAAACTAGGTCATTTCGGGACTAACATATGGGTTAATTTTTTTTATTTCAATAATTCGCTTGCGCGTAGAGGTCTTTAGTAGTGGGAGGAAACCGGAGGACCCGGAGAAAACCCACGAGGTTGGACAGGCGACACTACTCTTTGTCACGTACAACCGGGGATTCGAATCCACGACAGTTGACTCAATGACAGGCCGTATGATACAGCGCGTGCATGCTAACCATTCGGCCATCCAACCCCCCTTCACGTTGTGGAATCTCAAGACCAAATTGTTCGCTACTCCTGGCTCTAATAGTCAATATAACACAACCGTAGGTTATTATATTCCCTACTTTCAACACACATAACATTTGACAATTTATTAATAAATTCCGGACATTTTCGTTGTCATTAAGTATGGTTTTACGTATACACTACGCATGGCATTTCCGAGAATTCAAAATTTATTCGACAGCTAACCGCACATTCGAATCCAAATTTAAATTACCCATTTTACCATGGTATGTTTTCCCGCTTTTAACACATACTTTGAACTTATTATCTCCTGCTTACATTTTTAACAACACAACACGAAAAATCCAGAAACAGTTTAAACCATTGCATAATCTAAGCTGACCGCTATATTGATGCGCAACATAAGTGATGCGCTGTAGTGGCTGCTCCTGTTTAGTTTAGCTCTCCAAGTTTTGTGTATTTTTGGCTACTAAATTTAGTTTATGCATGTGAAAAGTGGAAATATGTGTGTATAAGGTTACATGGAACACATTTGTGAAGGAATCATTGTCATTATTGGATTATCTCTTGCAGTATTTACTATTTTCTGAAAATTGGAATACATTTGAAGTGTTATAGAGTAATCAATGAAGCATAGAAACAGCCATTTTATTAGACTTGGGTTTCTTTCCTATTGTTTTAACATGCTCACTTTTAATCCAGTTAAGTATAACTCACATGTGATTAAGATATCTAGAGAGGAACTCATTTCAAAACAACAACTTAACACTTTATCTGTTAACCAGTTTAAATTTTTACAAGATGCAACACTACATATTCTTAAAAATGTTCAATCTAAAACACGGCGTGGGTGTTCTTCTGGTCTCACAAAGAAAGCAAAGAAAGCCAGGAAGAAAACAAAAATATCATCATCATTGAAAATTGGTCTCTTGAATGCACAGTCGGCTCGTAATAAGAGTGTTAAAATATATGACTTAGTAATTGATTATGACCTAGATGTATTAGTCGTCACAGAATCATGGTTTAAACCTACTGGTGACGAAGCAATAATTGCTCAGATAACACCCCCTCTTACACTTTCGTCCATCAACCTCGGCTTACATCTAGAGTAGGGGGTCTTGCAGTAATCTATAAATCCGTAGTTCCAGTAAAACTCAACGCATCGTCAATTGATCTGCCCTCGGTCGAGGATCTCAGTCTGACAGTGAGCACCCAGAACAAATCATTCAACCTTGTTTGTATTTACAGGCCTTCACCCTCGACAAAGAATACATTTTCATATCCATCGTTTTTGGGAGATATTACAAAACTTTTTGAACAGTATCACATATTGGATACAATGTTTTTGGGAGATTTTAATATTCACTGGAAT